GCTTTAATATGATAGTGTGACGTGTGATCCAAAATATGAGCGCCAAAATAAATTGAAAAGAGTAATTTCCGTATGTGAAACGAGATTTTGGAGCACCCTTCTATCACTGTGTGTAGTTAGCCATCCATTAACTAGCTACTCATGTATCTATGACACATAGCAATGAAGTGATGCAATAACACGAGATTAACACTCGGAAGTCGCTCGTATTCCGTCATGCCATGTCACTATTAATTAATTGTGAATGAATCTCTTTGGAGTCGAAGTCTGATCTACACACTACAAACAGCCTACATTAATCAGAGTGGCTACTTCGTTTTCATGGGCTGTACTGTGTGATTCGGCGGTCAATTACTAGCCGTTCAAGTCGCCGCTTTGTCTTGATATTCTGCAGAGACTTGAGTCAAGTTATAAAGTCTCTGCAGACTTAGAGGCAGAAAAAAACAACGAACCTACATGTCCCATAGTCCAGAATGCCCAGGGCTCCAGGCGCTGCTTTATCCATATCCAAGCCTGCTCTCGATGCCCCGTGGTGGCAGCATCACTTCCAACCCCACCCACTTCTACCTACGAAAGCTCGGGAGGCGTACATGGGCACTGGTCCCTCTGCTGAGCCAAAAATGTATTGTAATAAATGTCTACATTTTGATACAGGTATCGAGCAGAGTAAGGACCAAAAGGAGTACGAGCAAGGGGCTCGTGCTCATCTTCGCAGTGTCCAGGAGATCGAAGATTATTGTAAGCACCTCTATTTCTTCGAGCATAGCTATCTACTAATAGACTGGTTTTATTTAGTGTGGGCTCTCGAACCCAACCGGCGGTGGGTTCGAGGTGTGGCAGACACGGCTCTGAACCACATGATTAAACATTGTCCCCATGTCACTACCGGGGACCGGGACACAGCGACCACTCTGCGCAGCGTCAAGAAGAAGGGAAAGAATAATCAGAACAACTTTCAAGATGAGTATATTCCGGGTGCTGGTGAGTCTGCTTTCTATCCTTTTCTTCGACATGATTGCTGATGCTATTCTAGTTTATTCTACCTCGCCATTAGGCTGGGGATTTACAGACTATCAGCAGTCCTCAGCCACCGGTAGTGCACCACAGCTAGCCAGTGCAAGCTCTAGTACATCTATGAACGCTTTGAGTATCAATACCGGTTCGCTTTCTGTCCCTCCGAGTGTGGGGAACTCTCCATCCCCGTCTGTCCTTAGTATTCAGGGCCTTCCTGCTAGCCCTGCTATCGATCTTTCACTTCCTGCAGTACCTCACTGGCCGGCTGGTATTTCTCAGTCTCGAGGACCATTATCCCGCCGGTCTAGTCAAGCTGTTCTAGCGCCTGTAAATCCACCAGCCCCTGCATGGACTCCCGCTTTGCAGCAGGAATTCGAGCGCAGAATACTTCGGCTCACCGTCTCTGCAGGGCTTCCATTTTCTTGGGCCGATAATCCGGAGTGGCAGGCATTCTGTCACAAGTTTATTCCCGCTGCAAAATTACCTTCGCAGCGGACGCTCTCTCGGCGACTTTTACCTGAGGCTGTGGCTGAAGGTCGTGCATCAATACGAGCAGCTGCTCAAGGTCATGAAGCTACTCTACAGGCCGACGGCTGGACTGGACTTAATAGCCATCATCTTATTGCTTTCATGGTCACGGTAAATAATCAGGTACGGTTTTATTCATGATTATACTTCTAAGGCTTATTAAATCACTCAGGTACATACTGTCCAAGTCGACGACGTTTCTGCAGAGCGTAAGACTGCGGATAATCTTCTCGATCGGCTGCAGAAGGTTATTGACACGTTAAATAATGAATGGAAGTCTCCTGTTATTGCTGTAGTAACAGATGCGTCCGGAGAATCACGCAAAGCACGTCGATTGCTGGGAGAAAGGCACCCTGAGCTCATGGTTCTCGACTGCTATGCACACCAGGTACGCTGATTTATTTATTTCTGATAGCATTAATCACTAAGAGCGCTCTAGATTAATTTAGTGGTCGGCGACTACTTTAAGGCGCTCAAGGAATCAGGATCAAGCACGTTTAACTTCACAGAGCTAGCAGACGACCTGATATCTTGGCTTCGAAGTAAAACTCTAGTCCTAGCGCTGATTCGAGAGCAGCAGCTATCATCTGGTAATATAGCTTGCGCGGTTATTCGCGCTGTTATTACTCGCTGGACCGCTCATTTTGTAGCCTACCGTCGACTCATTAAACTACGCCGAACATTAATGGCCGTAGCGAGCACTGAGATTCTCCGGCCAGATGACAAAAAAATGATCATTACAGGCGACAAGAAAGCTCGCCAAAAAGCTCTCACTATGCTCCTTCTAATACAAGATCATTCGCAGCAGTTTTGGAAGGCTATCGAACGGTAAGCATTGTATTCAAGTCCTGAAACTTAGCTAATTTACTACTGTAGAATCACAAGGCATCTCGAGCCACTTGCGATTGCAGCAAACATTACTCAGGCAACTCAGTGTCGATTATATCAAGTCCTTCTGACATTCGGGTTTCTCATGGACGACTACCTCAATAAAATATCTGAAGGTGGCAACGATGAATGCGAAGCGATCATTGCTAGTCTTGAAGCACGCTGGGCCAAGGCGGATCAAGAACTATTCATTTCTTCAGTGATTCTGAACCCGTTTTATCGTACTACTCCCTTCGCAAAGATTCCTGCTCTCAACAATGCCGGTGTCCATATGCTTATTGAGCATATGTGGGAGCGCCTCTTCTCTTCTCGAGCACCACCCGAGCTCGAAAGTCAGGCTGAGGACTATTTATTTAACAGAGGGCTCTTTGCACATCTCGACACTCGAGTTGAGAGAAAGTGTGCTGCTGCTCAGGAAAATGTAAGCACACTGATTAATATTCTACACACTGACTGACAAACTTACAGGGACAGCTGCCTGATCCGATCGCTTTATACAGCGAGTTTTGCTTTGCTGGAGAGCCAATCCCAGCATTCATTCTGCTTGCCCGGCGATTACTCTTAGTATCCGCAAATTCAGCATCTTGCGAACGGCTTTTCAGTATATTTGGGACTACTCTAACAAAGCTAAGGTCGCGACTAGGTACTGGCACGCTTCAGGCTCTTGCAGAGCTGAAGATGATGATCAGAGACGAGCACACGCGCTCTGCCGAAAGTCGGAAACGCATGATTCAGTCGATGCAAGATCGAACACGCGAAAATATCATTCCTGCTGCTGAAACCCTTCCTATTCCTTCGAGCACGTCCGAAGATCTTCAGGACCTCATGCTTGGTGCTCAGAACGACCTTAACGCCCGATTTTATGGCCCAGAACCGACCGAAGACTCTAGTGCCACTGACTCTTCTGTAGATCAATTCCATACCCTTATTCAGCAGCATATGCGCCTCTCAGATGAAGATGAGCTTGACGACGAGCCCATTCGCAATGTATCCATCATTGGGATGCAGATTCCGCTTCGAAACCTCTTCAACTTCGCCAACAAGAGCTGGTCCGATCTTTACAAGCAGTCAGCCCGCCAGAACTTCGAAGAAGAGATGTCCATGTATGAATTATTAGAATTAGACTCAATTCCTAAGCAAGACGAGTCGGGATCGGACGGTAACATTGAGATCTCACTAGATGATACTACTCAGGAGGTTCTATTACATACTTCATAGTTTTTCTACGGTACAGACGAACGATGTATGCTATCTATGTTAATTTGATCTACGAGCCCCTGACTTCCCCCGAGATCTCCGCGCG